GCAAACAGTTGAGCAATCTGCTGCAAAAGTACATATGGGTTGAGTTTTTGTTCTCCTTTAACAGGTTGGATAGTCTTGAAGTGCCTCCACAGCTGACAAGCATGCAGGGTTTTATGACTCTTCTTGCCCAGTAAATGCAGGCAGATGTTGTAGGATTCGGAACCTTACAAGGCACTAGAGTATAGCTGGTGGGAGGTAATTTTGATGAGTGCTTAACCTCTCACTAAAAGTGTAGCAGCTTGGAGAGGGCAGTATTTACTGCAGGAAACATTAGCTTGTCAGAGAGCTAAAGCACTGCACAGAACCCCTCTGAATGGCCATGGAAGTCTTGAGGCAGATGTTGTTCAGGGTAAAGCACACAGTGCAGGGAGGAGGACTGGGGTTTGCCTTCATCACCCACAGCCAGCAGTGCTTCCTGCAGGAGAACAGCCTGGTGATGTCAGAGTGCACAGCCCATTGTGTGCAGGCTTGTAAAACACCAGCAATTCAGCTGACCCCTGCAGGCATTTATTTTATTAGTCCTAAATGGTCCTGAATCCTTTGAGAGAACTCTCTGTGGAGCCATTGTGTGTTTCATCTAAGAGTTAGAGGAAATACTTAGGTCTGAGCTTCCTCATTCTGTTTTTTGGGAGTTAAATCATGACACAAACCTACTCAGACATAGCCATGGCAGCCACCCTCAGTGTTGCATCTTTTCAGTGTTCCTGGGCTCACTTGGCTGCCCTAAGAGCTGTGGTAAACACTGAAGCTGTCCAGCTGTATTGAACCTGGCCATCTCCTCTGACTGTTGGGTATTTCATTGAATGTTGGAAGTGAAAACCATCTGTTAATCTAAATATAGCAGTTTATTTTCTTTTGAGCAGTACAGGAGGCTTGGAGAACACCTCCCTGTTGGCAGGGCTCCTCTGACCTGTGAAAGACAAGGACACAAACCTGATTTTCAAAGCTTGCTGTGGTTTTGATCTGAGCTACACTGTCTTCATAATCACCACTCCCTAAGACACCAGTATTCCTGTATCATTCATGAGCTGAAAAAATTATTTTTTTTTCTAGCAATGCCAACGCTTAGTTCTGATTACACTGAAAATAACCATAAATATTCCTTTCTTTTCTTTACTTGCTCATACCTGGCAAGGAGGGGAAGAAATGCAGCCTTTGCTGCAGTGGCTGAAAGACAGATGTAGAGGGTGAGAAGCTGGTATGAAAGTTTTTGCAGGCCAGATCACGCACCATTGCAATGATCACTGACCATGGCAGAGGCTTTTTGGGAATGCTCGAATTAAAACGTGAATGAGGGGAAAACAGCAAATGAAATCCATCTGTTTGAGAGTAGGAATGGAACATTAATCAGCTCACAAAGAGTTTTTCTGTACATGTTGCCCTTGGACACTCCCATAGAGAAAGGGCCACATCTCCTTATCGAGGGAAAATCGTGGCACTGGCTCTGCCTGGCATGTGCACTCCTTTCCTGCAGTGTCTGTCCAGGAGAGTGTGTTTGTGACAGAAATACTTCACAGGAACTCTTACAGTGCCACACATCTGAAGAGCTGTTCTGCTTCAGAGTTCAGATTGTTTTATTATGAGCTAAATGTTCTTTAAGCTACCTGTGAATGAGGGCATTGTGACATTTAGCAACTGGCTTGATTGAACACAGATGTGAGCCATATTCCATATGGAGAAGATCCAAAGGGGGAGATCCTAGGCTTGTTTCTGATTTGCAGGGAGTTTGGATGCAATTACTTGGCATTGAGCTACCAAGATAGATGGAAACAAATCGCTTGCTCCCACCTCTGCAGTATTGCAAATGTAAAACCAGCCTCAGTCTGAGAGTGTGTGTTGTCTTCAGAGGTCCATGGGAAAAAACAATATATGTGAAAGCAAAAATCCTGTAGAAATAGGCAAAAATGAGAGGGGGCCAGGCGTTCATGTACATTGCTTACCAAGGGGCTTTCTAAAAGTGCCCCTTTCCGCATTGCACCACTTTGAAACTTCATTCCAGCCTTCCTCTGAATATCACAAGAAGTGCTATTACTTGGGAAAGTGTTTGAGGGGAAAAATGGTTACGTGGGAAACAGGGCTAATTTGCAATATCTGTTGATAATTTTCCAGTTTCTTGAGTGTAAAATTTACTGATGCAAAACTGAAATTGCACCTGGCAGAATTCATTTTGTTGTGGAAGTGTTTATTTCCTACCAACAACTTACTGAGGAAAAGCAAACATTTGGGGCTGGTTCTGGTATGTTTTCTGAACTGCTGAACTCTACAAAGCTGCTCACAGAAATTGTGACCTGCAGGCCTCATTCTCTGTTTATGGAGAGAGAAGGTTTATCTCTGTCTCCATTGCCTGTGGCACTTGTTTGTTTTTCTGCCATTTGAGCTGAGGGTGCATCATTGAAAACGTGGTCTCTGCAGCTGCCCTGTGAAGTGGAACAGGGTCTGAGCTATAATAGTTCCCAAGACAAACATTACTGAACCTGAATATTTAAGAACGTTCTTTTCCATACAGATAATTGATTTTTTTCCTCCCTTCTTTTCATCCTTGTTCAGCTGGGAAGAATTCCAAGTGTTTACTGACTTGGGTTGTCCCCAGTGTCCTTATCTGTAATTATTCTGCTGTAACACTGAGCTGACAAGACATCCTGAGCTTAGCAGCTCTCAAGGTGTGCTTGGGGAGGGGGTTCAAATCTCTGAATGCACTGCTGGAGGGCAAGGAAAAGGCTTGTGTTTGATCTCAGTTAGACAAACAGTGCTGAGATGGTAGTCCTTCTTGGTCAGGATACAATGACAGGAGCCACAAAAAGAGAAAAAGCTGAGTTGCCAGGTTGAACTTTGGTTTATGGGGAATACCAGTCTTCAGCACTTTCACAAATATTTAAGTATGTGGGCAAATAATCTGTCCTTCCTTTGGAACATCCCCATGGTAGAGGGCACCAGCCTGCAGTGGCCTGTAGGGACACCTGAACTTGGGTAGCCAAAGTAGGAAAATATAATTTACAAACCCCAGTGTAAAATCCACCCCAATGGGTCCAGTCACAGTGCACTGTGGGGAGCTGTGGGGTCATTCCCCATCCTCTCATCCCCCATTCCTGCCCTCTCCTCCCTGCTCACTCACCTGTGTGTATGTGGACACGCTCATTCCTCACAGCTGGTACAAAGTTCTGAGTGAGTTTTGAGTAAGTTCTTTAATCCAGCTGTGTGAATCCCTCCTTTCTTCACTCTCTGTGACTGTTTGGAAGCCAGGAAGCTGCAGTATCATGTGCAGGTAGCACAGCAATAAACATGTTCTCATCACAATTTACACATAAAGCGTGGGTCCCTCGAGGTAACTCATCCCCCTCCTGACAGCTTTAATAAAGGATGATGGATTGTTTCTAAATGACAGTTTAGGAAAATCAAAAATTCCCCCCTGTATTGTTTCAAGCTCTGGTGTACAAGAGCTGTTTTGTCTTCTGTGGAAGTTGTTTTTGCCTCTAAGCACTGGGGCTCTATTACTCTCCTTCAGAGTGGTGAGAAATGCTGCTGCCACAGGAATATATTCCTGCTGTGCGTACCTGGGGCTTTTGGCAAACCTGTCAGGGGTGGGAAGTGGGGAAATGCCAGGAGCTGGATGTGTTGCTGTCTCTGGGATGCTGCTCTGGGCTGTTGGAAGCAGGAGGGATTGGACACTGATGCACCCAGAGCTGGCTCCAAGGCAGGAATGCCAGGAGAAGGATCCCCAATCCCACCTGCACTGGCTCAGCTCCCAACCAGCACATTCTGGGCCCTGGGGACACCCAGGCCTCCAGGTACCTGGCAGTCACCTGCACTCTGTTTTCTTCCTCTCTGCTATTTTCTTTTTAAAGACCACATGTGGCAACGAATTAGTTCAGGAGGGCAGAGTCCTCTCTCTCATTCCTTTTTGGCCTGAGATTTATTTCTCAGTGCATGTGCTTTGTAGCTGCACTTGGCAGAGTGGAGTTTGTTCAGCTGTCCATTCCCCAGCTAATCTGGTGTCCTAAAATAAAAACAAGCAAGTGGAACCTCAGAGGATGGTTGCCACATGAAGACGTGCAGAGTGTCATATGGTTAAAACAGCACTGCTCAAAGTCATTCACAGGGTGAGAAGCCAGATGAGAAAAAAAAAGGCCAAAGGTCTGATTAGGTACAGATTAGGTCAGTCTGGTGGCACATTGAGGTGACAGAATGAAGCCAAGATGAGCCCAGTGCAGCCAGGCAGCACCAAAATCACACCTCTGACATACCATGTGAAATGAAAAATGCTGAAATCAAAACCAACATAGAGTGAGGTTAAATCAAGGCTGGAACTTGAGAGGGGAGGAGAGCTTTTGGCTCTGATACCTATGCCCTGATGGGAGGCAAAGACAGATAATTCCTGTAGATCTTACCTGGACATTTACTTCTCCAAAGTCTTTGTGGTTGCTTCCCCCAGCTGAGGGAGCCTGGCTGAGCATAAGCTGCTCTGCTTGGGACAGAACCATGTCCATCCTTCTCTTCCTGATATCCCAGAATGAAGAAATATCTTTGCTGTCCATGAAATCTGAGCAATATTGTTCTCACATTGGGAATAGCAACACCAGGGAACAGACTTTTTTTCTGAAAACTCCTGGGTTCCTGATCAATTAGGACAGATACCCATGCATGAAACAGCACATGTGGGAGGATGTCTGTGAAATCTGAGGGGTTTTCCTACAGGAGGAGAAGATAAAGAACACTATTCCATTACTTATTGTAAAAAGAAGTAACCAAATTTTAAATCTGGGCTGAATCCTTGTGTTCCAGATGTATTTCCCAGCCCAGTAATCAATGTTTCAGTGCATGTAATGAATGCCTTTCAGTCAGTAAACCCCAGTAACAGCCCAAAGTTTTTACAGCCTTAGATTTGTGCCATACTTTTTTGCAGTGAGCTGGTACTTTGCTTCCTGTTGGAAATTATTTGAATTAACATACCCTGTTGCTTTGATTGCTGGTGTATCTTATGACTGTGACACTCTTTCCCTCAGGCACAACAGGGATTTACCAGGGAGCCAACGGCCTGACAAATTCTGCAGGATTCAGTGCTGTGCATCAGGTATGGTTCAGCACCCTGTCACTTATTTTAAACCACTTGGAAGGTTTCTAGATCAGAGAGATTATTTCAGTGTCCACACTTATTTAAGGAAGGTGTTGCTTTGTGTTTTCCTGAACACCATTCTGCTCTGCTCTCCAGCCTGTTTGCTGGATTTCAGGGTATCCTGGTTAATTTTCAGATGTGTCTCAGTGCACACACACAGAGTGCAGTCCTTGCAGGAGCAGGGTGCCCTGGCAGTCTCTGACTGAGTTTCCTCATCCTTCTGCCCTCTTACAACTTTCAGCTATGCTGTGCATCCTCTGCAGAGGGGATGGCTCCCAGAGTCCTGCCATCTCTGTGCTGGCACTGTGCACTGAGTGTGAGCAATCTGAGAGAGGCCTTGGCAGCCCCTGGTGGATGTTGAGCCATCTGAGCTGTCTGTGCACTTCCCTCTCTGAGGGCACACCTGTCCATGGATCCATGCCTCAGATACCTTGGTAAATGTGTGTGTATAAATAAAACACAGGACAGATGTTTTCCAGTAGCAAATGGCTCCTCTTGTTTGGAGCAAACAAATGAGTACACTGTCCCAGAAAATGTGTTTTGGTTGGCCAGTAATTTCAGTTCCTTGTTCTTAGGGTGATTGTTGACTTGTATTTTTAATGGCAACAGTGGGCAATTTCTTTGCTGCTGCAGTTTGGCCTTAAAACGTCAGCATTACTTTTGACTGAAGTATGGAGGTTGCCTAAACAGGGGAGAAAAACTGGGCTTTTAAAATTATTTTGTAATCTTCTGTAGGAGAAAGCAATGAAATTATCTCATTTCTTTTTCAGTCTAATTGTTCTTATGGCAATTTGAGTCTTTGTTCTTGAGAGCTCCCTGGTGACTGGAAGTTAATGAAATAGCTGTCACAGACAAAGATGTAAGCTGTTAAGGAGGAAAGTGCTTTTAGTGTTTCTAAAGACTATTTATTAATTAATTTTATTTAATACCAGAGGCTAATTATAATTTCTGAGGGAATAAAAGCATTCTGCTCAAAGACAATGCCCAGAGCATGAACAGAGTTCTCTGTCTGGAAAAGTAAATTCAGTGGACAAGGGCAGGAGTTGCAATTAAAACAAAAAGAAGCAAATTAAACCTTTTATGCTTTGATTGTGTAGAGATGCATTTTGTAATGTTTTCTAGTGTCCTGCTTTTCACAGTACACCCACCAATCATCCAAGGATAATGCTATGGGATTTCTTTGGGTGCATTAAAATCAAGGCAAAGAGTTTTGTGATACCTCAGCGCCCCAAGGTCACTTGCACCTCATATTTTTAGTTCATTTTTCTGTAGGTAGGCAAGATCACTCAGGCATTTATTTATTGCTGAGATAGTTGGGCAGACTGTTGTAAGCATTGCTGCAAAAAAATTGCTATTTTCTTTTCATATTTTTAGCCTAACAGCTGATCAGAAGATGTTGCTGATCATAGGAAAATGCAGCCTGTTTTGCTCCTTCCCTCACCCAGTTATTCGTTCTGTTCTTGCAATTTCTTAGGTATTGTTGTTTGCAAAGATTATGTGTTCCATCATGGCCCTTTTCAGAAAGCCGCCCTACTTCACTCTTACATTAAATTGTTAAACTCTGTAATATAAAATGTGTCAGCACTGATAACTTAAATCCTGTCAAAAAACCCAGAACTTGCCAGATTTCTGACCTCTTGTTGGTTAGTCTATCATGATAAAACAGGAGTATATTTGTGAGAATCAGAAATGTAATTTCCTAAGTGAATGCAATGCAGTTCTTCAGTGAAATATCCCCGAGCCGTCACTTGCTGCGTGCACGAGTGACACAGCTTTTGTGGTGGCTTGCTTGTTTGTAAGATAAAACCAGACACATGCCAGTTGGATCTGTTTGTTTTTCTCCCTCCAAGGAATACTCCTCGTACCCCAGCTTCCCTCAGAGCCAGTACTCTCAGTATTACAGCTCGTCCTACAACTCCCCGTACGTGTCTGCCAACAGCATCAGCCCCTCGGCCATCCCCACCTCCACCTACTCCCTGCAGGAGCCCTCCCACAACATCACCAGCCAGAGCACAGAATCTCTCTCTGGTAAGTGCCTCTCTGGTGCTCCCAGCCTGGCAGCCTCAGCCATCTGGAGATATAAGTGCTGTCCTCTCATTGTTGGAGTTTTTTAAATGCGTATTTAAAATGCGTATTTTAAATACGTGTTTTAAATACTCAGGTTTTCTAGCACTGAACAGTCCTTACACAGGGGTTTGGGAAGAGATGGGAATGTTCAAGCCTCTAAAACCATTGTGTGTTAGTTTTGTGAGTATTTGAGGTTTGATCTCCCCTAAGGTAGTACAGAATGACAATGACATACCAACACCAGAGCAGAACTGAGGGTGGCATGGATGGCCGTGAATTCAAAACAAACAGCCATGCTCTGAAAAATTCTCAGTTTCCTCAGTGTCTCATGACATTTTAGCCCATATCTTTATCAAGGATTATATTCACCTCTTAAAACAACACTTAATATTGTGCATTCATAAACAACATCAAGAGAAAGTCCCTCTTTAAAAAATCTACACAAACCGTGTCTAATATGAAAGTTCAAGATTATTTCCATGCCAAAAAAAGGCTTCAAAATTTGCGTCCTCTCATTGAATGCCTAATTTTTAAAGTTTCAAAGCTTAAGTAGTTTATGGAATTACTGGTGGATTATGATCCCCCAGTGTCCTGTTCAAGAGCAATCTTCAGATATCACTTCCCTGCTAGTTTTCATTGGCGTGCAATAACATTTATATAAAACACCACACAATTCGTGGATGATCACAGTACACACCCACTGAAGGTCTGCTGACTTACAAAACAAATCTGAACATCTGTGGTTGCTCTAAAAGAAAAATAAACTAGTATTGTTATTTAAAAAGAATACACAGATCACAGACTGCTCTAAAAGCAGTTGGAGGATTTTCCGTTCCTTAGATCTTATCTCAGCCTTTTTGAAAAAGGATAATTTCTAAAAGGCTTCCTAGGCACAATCCCAGCTTCTCTGAAGAAGAGTATGGTTATTCTAGGAAGTTGCAGAGGCCACAACTTAGCAAGGTGTAAAGAAAAATATGTTTGAAAAGGATTTGTAATGTAAGGTGAGTGAAACCCAGACAGATCTGTGAAACTCAAGCCAATCAAAACAGATACTTTATACATGGGAAGTTTGCTTTTAACTGTGTCTTCTCAGTTATTTCTAAAATACCATCCTCTGAGAAATGGGGTAAGGCTCAACAGGTTAGTTCTGTATTTTTAAATAAAAGTTGCTGTTAAAAATATATTTTCAGTCATTCGCATTCATTAATTTTAAAAAAGAAAACAAAACCAAAAAGATTTGAAAAGAAAATTCAGAAGTCTGTAACTGGACTTTCAGAAGTCTGTAAATTTCAGAAGTGTAATTGGTCTTGGGTTCTGTTTCTATTGCATTTCAAATTTCTGTCTTTGAAAAGAATGGGGGGGAGTAAAATTCCAAAAGTTTTTTCTTTCCAGTGAAAATTTTGATAAGGTTTTTTGAAGTGAAAGTGTCCTTTTTAAAATGTTATATATGCAGTTTTGGTGATTTTTGAAATTGTTTTAACAAATTTTAGGAATTAAAACTTCTTCTCTTACACTGTTAGCTATTGGTGTGAAAAGAGTAAAATTTTTCTCATGGTGTTTTCACAGTGCTTCTGTTGCTTTTCAATAAAAGGTTTTGTGTTCTAATTGCAGTGACAAAATTTAGTTTTACAATGGAATTTCTTTCTCCTAATAGGGGAATATTCAACAACACCAGCAAAAGATGTAGAGACAGACAGACATCACAGAGGGTCAGATGGCAAGGTACGAGCCCGGTCAAAAAGAAGCAACGATCCTTCCCCTACTGCTGACAGTGAGATTGAGGTAATAAATTCAATTTATATTCCTTTGGTACATCCAGCAAGGATGAACAGTTGCCTCTGTTAGCAAATCTGAGAGACAGAACAGAATTAGTAATACAACTGGAACCTGCAGGCACGAGTAGTCAAAACAATTGCTCAATTTCTGTGTTATCAACATCTCAAACTATTCTTCATACGTACCTTTTTTTTTTTCCTTTGGGCTTTTTGTAAGTCTGATGTTTTGTTCCCCTGACTTGAGAGGCAACAGGGGATTTCTGTGGTTGTCAGGAGAGCAGGCTCTTGGGATGGCAGTTCCAAAATTCCTGATGTTTCATTTTGCCTGCTTTCACAAAACATCCAGTCAGTGCTCCAAATGGCTTGAGATCTTAAAAATCTCTAGTCCAACAGGACATATTTCCTGACTGAACCTGTTCTTGCAGTTGCCTAATATGTAACTATATTTCTTTTTTCCACCCCATCTGTCATCACAGCGTGTGTTTGTGTGGGATTTGGATGAGACGATAATTATTTTTCACTCCTTACTCACGGGAACCTTTGCATCCAGATATGGGAAGGTAAAATTTAATTTTTTTAGCATTACTGCTTGTCCAGCCAAATTGCGTCGGGAACTGTGGGGGCTGCTAATGAGCCAGCTTTACAAACAGATGCTGCCTGTTTTATTCAGACATATTTGTATAAACGTGTCCTGTGGTATTTCCTCCGAACATGTGAGAATTTAATTTACCTCCCTTTCATGTTGCAAGTAGCCCCCTTGTTTTTTCCAAAGCTTGTGTTGTTCAGCTGCCACTTGCTGGGATGTTCTTCCAGTGTCTGTCATCTGCAAGAGAGAGCATCCAGCAGCCAGGCTCCATTAACTCCAGCCTGAATAACCTAACACTTCTTTTGTTAGACCAGTGTTTTCTTACAAGTCTCAGACAATTTTTTAAGAGAGATTTTGTGTTCCTCTGTCTGGGTTGCTGTGAGGAACTGGCTGTGCTTCCCACATTGCTGCTGAAGCTCACATTTCTAAGGGGGCTTCAGAAATGTGTTTAGCTGACCATACTTTAGATACTGTCTTTGAAACACAGGCAATTCCATTTTTTTAGAGAACTGTGGCTGAGCAGCCTGAACTTGGCTGCTAAGGAGAAAACACTGGTCCAGATTTAGTACCATGTGCTTCAATTTCTTCCTAAGGCAGCTTTTTATGATAAACACCTAAGTCACTTTGAATTACAGAATGTCAAGCACTTTTAAATGGGTAGGAAAAAAGACAATATCATTACCTAATTAAAGGTGGATTACATAGTTGGCAGCTGTTTCCACACATGGCTTTGAGCATTCAGCTTCATCAGGAGACTGGAAAATAACCCAGCTTCTCTCCAGAAAGCAGAAATATGATTTGACATCATTTCATGGCTTTACCAGCTGTACTTTTTTATGATGGTTATAACAAGCTCAAGGTGTAATTAGTAAGATAGATTTATTGTTCACTGTTAGATGTGCACAGTTGTAAAGGATATAAAATGGTGTTTGTGGTGTGGAAGTCTACTGCAGCACTTGGAATGCTGCTAACACTCCTAGCAGCACCCTCTGAAAACCAAGCACGTGTTTCCAGGCAGGGATTTACCCAGGGCCATGTTGTACAAGGTAATTGAAGTGGTGACTTTTCCCAGAGAACATAATGAACGAGGTGTGCACGTGCAGGCTCAGACCTACTGCCTACAAACACCAGAAGGAATTAGGCAGGATCAGGAAACAAACTCAGGGTGTGCAGATCTGCTCTGTGCTCGAGCTCAGCCTTGGACAGGGGCTGCTGAATTCATGGGGAGAATTCCCTTAATGGGCTGGCTTTGTCTAGCACAGCACCTCTGAAGGAGATGCCTTCACCTGCACATTTAGGGGTGTAGAGTTGGAATCTGCTGTGTGGGGGCTTCTGTTGGCTGTTTCCATTATTCTAATTTAGAGAATTATATATTTAGAGAATTATTTTGGAAAAATCAATCACCTTCTCTATTGAGTTATGACATGTTCCTTCTCTATTGAGTTATGACAGGTTCCTTGAGCAACTTCTCTAGAAGGACTTTTTGCTTTGCAGTTCTTCATTTGTTTCATCAGTATTAAATTCCTCAGGACTCTCCTGTAAGGGAAATGGTTTATAATACTTATAAAACTATTATAGGCTGGAGGCTTGATCCAAAGACAACCAGAGGCTTTGGTGGTGGGCTTTGGAACAGACCTTAAACCAAGAGGGAAATACAGCACACTCAGACAGGCTGTCCTGGGAACTGTTAAATAGTAGCACAATTCAAAACTACCAAGTACAAGTGAAGCAGCCAGAGGTTAAGAGTTTCAGAATCTCTTACTTCAGTAGTGTAGGAAGTGTTAATCTCCAAGTAAATTAAGTATCAAAACCAAAATTCTCCATAAAAGAATTCACATGCCTGTAATTAGACATGCATGTGCTTATAATTAAATCTCTTACATGGAGATCTTGGTTCTTTGGATCTTGGATCTCTGTCTTTCTTCAGAAAAGGTGTGAGTTTATGTGATCCTGACCATCCTCTGGCCAACATTTATCTCCCACTATTATCCTGTCTGTTGCATTGGTGGAGCTGCAGGTGCTCAAAGAATTAGTCTGTAAAGTAGTTCAAGCTGAAGAATAACATCTCTTTCTGGGGTGATTTTTCTTGAAAGATGGGAGCAGGAACACCAACCACAGCTTCAGAGATTTGGGTCTAAATTCCTGTGTTCTTTAGCTACTTAATCACAAATGGTTGTGTCTGTTGTCTCTTCATTGGTGATGGCAGGAACAGGCAGCTGTCTAAAAAATAAGGAAAAAAAGAGGAGAAGGAACTCACAAAAAGTCATGTTATTAATGGTTGATGTTTCAATGCATATTTTCTGACCTGACTTCATGGCAAAATTCTCTTTGTTTTCTCTGTGGCTCTTAACATACATATGGCCTCCTCAGGGCATTGAGAGTTACTCTCAGGTGTTTAAAAAATACTTTGCCCACAGCACCAATAGCAGTTAAAGCCTAAAATGTACTGAAAGTTGAAGCATGAACGAATAGCCCAGTCTAGGCTGCTCCTTTTTGTCCTCTCCTCCCAAACCCTTTGCTGTAGCCCATGAATTGCAGAGTCATCAGAAATTTGGTCTTAATTTCTTTGTCATAGGGTGACAAGAAAAGGCAACTCCCCAAAAGTTGCAGGGGCAGGTAACCCTGGGTATTATGTTCAGGAGGGTTTATAAAACCTGTTCTTCTGCTTTCTGATCACTGAATGGGTGAAGAATATTTACCATGTGCCTACAGACCTCAACAGATGGAGACCCTTGTGGCTTTTTGTGGTGTCCATGGAGCATTTTTAATCCTTGGTGTGTGTGATGGAGCTCCTGCTCCACAGGAGATGGCTGCAGGCTTGGCCAGGTCAGCAAAGGTTTGTCCCCAGATCATCGACTGAATATAGTGGGGAAAAATGGCTCAAAATCCATAACAGTGCTGCTGGGCTTTCACAGGAGCTGGGTAAAAGTCAGGGGGCTTGTTTGACATAGAAAGACTCTTTTGGTGGTAGTAATTCAGAAACAATATGAGGAGACTGCTTGCAGTCCTGTGCCAAAAATAATCATGACTCTATTCCTCTTTCCCCAGCTGGGATATTTGCAAGATTGTTCCATAACCTGTGTTGTCTAAGCCTTAAAATTTCTCAGACTGAAAGAGATGCAGAAACTTTTGTTCAAGTGTTATACTGTGGTTTCATTCTCATGCTTTTCGAAAAACTGGTATCAAGAAAAAAGGGAGCAGTGGGAGTGTTGTTTTCCCTAATTTGAGGGAGCTCTGTGAAGCCAGTACCTTTTCTTAGTATTTTGTATTGTTACAAGAATGTGTATTCTTGTTCTGTGTTGCATCCCCACTTCTTGGGATTGAAGTATAAAGTAAAGTAAAGTACTTTTGAGTAAAGTAAAAACTGGAGTTAAAATTCACCTTTATATGCAAGATACTCCAAAATCCTTTAGTCAAATGACAAGGATTTTATTTTAGTCTGGACTTCGAGATTTGAACAATAGGACAGTCTAAGTTCTTGAATTGTGTTGGTTCTTTATCAGCACTTTGACAGTGCTGCTGATACCTGGGAGTTCAGATCTAGACAATTCCATGCAAGAGCCATGTAATTTCTGCGATTTTTCAGCATTTGGAATTAGCTCAAACTAAGAAATAAACAACGGCAAATGTGTAAAGCACATTATGTGCTGGTTTAAAATCATGCAAAGCTCTGGGTGTGGGTTAAGCTTCAGTGGAAAGGATGCAGCTCCTCTGTGTGACTCTGCCCTGTGTGGGTGCTTTATGTGGAGCAGCCTCTGCACTCAGGGAGGGCTTGCAGAGAGCCCCAGAGGTGCTTGTTTGAAGCAGGTTTTCTGTGACAGCCACGTTTTTTTAATGCTTTTGTGTTTCAGAAGTGGCAGCATGAGGTTTGCTCAAGCCGTGAGCAGACAGGAGATGCCCTCAGCTTTCCAGCCTGTGCAAACATGGGCTTGGCTCTCTGATGAGAGACTTGCAGTCACCCAGGAGAGGCTCCACCAATCATAGCAGGACCTTTTGGAGAGAGTAGCAAAAGTTTCTGCTTGGCCCAGTTGAGGACAGGACATAAATATGATTTTCTAGCATTGGAACAAATGTTATAGCTGCTGTGTGCTGGCTGTGAACTGGACTGTCTTGTTCTCACCAGAAATGATGTTGTGGATCTAAGAAACCCTATTCCTCAAAAGTTTCACTGGCTGTTACATGTTCTTATGAAAAGCTTTCCTTTGAATGAATTATAATTTCCAATTTAAAAAAAAAGTCATTGAAAAGTTCCTCCTTGGCTCCACTCAAGATCCTTGTAAAACCCCAGGTTTGATTTTTTAATTTCTTTTTTTTCCCGCTTCCCTGGCTTCAATGTTTCAAGTAGCTTGTGCTTTTCCCTGCTTTGTTCTCTCCCAGGACCCTAAAGGCAGGACCTGATTGAAACACCATGGGGATTTAATCAAATCTGCTGGTGATTCATGCTCCTAATGGCCCAGCCTGTCCTTTACTACTTTACAAACTGAGAAGGAATAAAACCCCATTTTATTGCTCGGCTGTTAAAAACTATTTGTAGAAGTTGCTAAGGTTCAAATCAAAAGGGGCCTCCCCTGAGAACTATTAGTTAATTCTGAGTGCCAGGGCATTGCTTTTTTCCCCTCCTCTCGCTTGAGATGTGGCCTTATATCATGACTGCTGCTCAAACATCTGAGAGTTTTCCATTCCTTTGACAAACATGAGCCAAAGTGCTTAAGGACATCTGTTTATTTTATTTCTTTAATGAGAAAACCTTCCAATTTCTTCCTGGCTCAGCTGTGTTTATTTACATTTTGTTAGTCATATGTGTGGGGCACCTTGGGACGTTGAGAACCTGCAGAGGCCTCTGCTGAGGGCTGCTAGCAGGCACCCTGGGCAGAAAGGCAGAATAAGCCCTTCCTAAGGAAAACACAGCCCTTGGAACTCCATAAAATAGATTTTCAAAACAAATAGAGCCTAATTCACTCAGTAGATCATGGA